CCCCCCCCCCCCCCGCGGAACCCTTCTGCCTTCCGCTGAATAGTGGTAGGGTCTATGGTGAGTTGGTGGTCGTATTGTAGAACTTCTGTTTCTAGTTTTGGTCTCGGATTTGACGTTCAGTTTGTATGTGGGGACTGTTGCACATTTTGGATAGAGTCATGGACGTAGAACTTAGATTGGATCAGGAGGTTCTAGAGGAGCTTCGGGAGGAGATAGCGCGTGTGGGTGTTCAATCACAGCGTCCAGACTACTTGGTGGGTTGCGACCGATTGGAACCGCTGTTGAACTTTTACGGGAGTTCGTTGCAGAAGCCGAAGCGTGAACGGGAGCAGCCGATGTTCATTGCCTACAAGGTCTCTCCGTCCTCGGATTTGACTAGTCCGAAATCCGTCAGTCCGAAGCCTGCGAGTCCCAAGCCTGGGCGTATCAACATTTCCGGCAGCTTGCGAGTCGAACCGCCCCCTTCTAACAAGACTCAGGATGGTGGCAAGACTCAGGATGGTGGCAAGACTCAGGATGGTGGCAAGACACAGGATGGTGGCAAGACTCAGGATGATGGCAAGACTCAGGAGGGAGGTAAAACCGATGGTGGCCAGACCGAGGTAGGGGGCAGTGTCTACGTGCCCACTCCTCGTCCCGAGTATGAGACGCCGGCGGAAGATGCCAATCCGTTGATTGTGCACATCAAGCCGGACGAAAAGCTACGACTGCCACTCGATCGCTTGGCCTCGCCCTCGAGTGTGCCCCTGACCCGACTCGGTCCCGGTAGCTTCAGTGAACGCAAGGTTCACCGCACGGGAAGCACGCAGCGGGACGAAGAAGGCAACGTCATTCTCAGTGCCCGCATAGAAAACGGCCGCATAGAAAACGGTCGGATCCAAAGAGGTCGGAGCAATGCCCAAATCAAAGCAGAATTACGCAGCGTAAGCGCCAGCCCGAGAGAAGTACCCAAAGGACCCGTAGTACAGGAAGTATGTGACGATATTTTTGTAGTCTACCGAGTAGGCTGAACACTTGCGCTCAGTCTGTGAGTTCAAGTTGATGAACCCTCCGATGTCCATTGCTATCAATTTGAATCACAACATCGTCCAAACAGTCCAGGTAGTGGGTATCCGCGTCCAGGGCCACTTCGATCAACCGCGGAGTCGGCAGCAACATGTAGCCGTTAGTCTATCGCAGAAAGAATGTGGAGAGGATGTAAGGCGGAGAGGATGTAAGGCGGGGGGGGGGGGTAAGAGTGATGGAGGAGTGGCAAGAGGAAAGGCGCAGTCCTGCTTACTGTAATGAGTCGGTGTCGAACCATGTACTGAAGCGTGTCGATTGCGAGGGGTTTGCGAGGCCCCTTGAGTACCGTGCCAAGGGCAGTGAGAAACGCCTGTTGTGCTGGCGTGCGCAGTTTCATCTGAAGGCATTGAAGCACTTGGTTGATCAGCGGTGTGAATGTGCCGCCGCCGTCGATCTCGAAGAAGTTGGCGGCGATCATGTCTGCCAACTCCTGCAGCCGGCCGGCCTGTGAAGCCACCTGCTTCACAAGCTCTAGATTCACTTCCTCCTTGACAGATTTTTCCACTGGTGGCCGACTACGCCAGAACACTTCCAGGTCCTTGCTCGGATCCGGCTCCTCCGGTAGCTCCCAGTCGTTCCCTTCCGGCAACGGAAACCGATTATAAATCTGGACCCCCGCCGGCGGCCCCCCAAGCGGAGCCTGAGCCTGTCCCACCGGCCCCATTAAATGGTTGTTATTCGCACTCATCATCAACGGCCCCATTGCTCCCATGGGCTGGCCTCCCATTGGCCCCATCGGGTGTCCCGGCATAGGTCCCATCGGGTGTCCCGGCATAGGTCCCATCGGGTGTCCTGGCATTGGTCCCATCGGGTGTCCTCCCATTGGTGCGGGAGGCATAAAGGCCGGAGCCGAAGGCATCGGCTGGGCCCACACACAAAGCAGCAACAGTGGAATCATGTGGTGCAATGTGTCCAGTCTAAAAAAATTCACTTCTTCGAGGCGCCACCCGCTCGACGACCAGGGCCCCAGTGGGCCTCTGGGTTGGGCACGAAACGGCCGCCAATCTTGGGTTTTTTCTTGCACTCAAAACTGAGGTTTGACATCGGGACGCTACAAAGTCGAGGTAGGTGTATCTCATGATACCCGTTCCAAATACCCGTTCCAAAAGGGGGGAGAGGGAAGGGGGAGTAGTGGATCTTACTCTACAGGTTGGAGGTAGTAAGGGGGTATATGCTTGGATTCGTCGTTGTTGTGTTTGATCCAAGCCCGTAGGACGTTGTAAACTACGGAAGGGGGGGCGTCAGTTTTGATGCTCTGGGGCTCGCGATGGAAAAGACCTACGCGGTATCCCAGGGATTCCAAGGCCGACCTGAAACGATCCGTTTTCATTAAGGAGATTCGAGCGTGGTTGCAGAGTGAAGATAACTTATAAAACAGAGGCACATCCTGTACGAGTTCCTCCTCCAAAATGGCACGCAGGATCCCCTTGATCTTGGGCAACACCTTGGGCGAGAGCGAGTCGAACCGCCATGAAGCCATCTCCAACTCAAATCGCTTGGCGGCCTTCCGGGCCCACGACAAATCGCCGTCTCTTTCCGCGCCCTCCTCAATCTCACGGGCAACAGTTTTTGTCATAATCGACTTAGTAGCCATCGCCTCAGCGACCATCGCCTCAGCGACCATCGGCTCAGTCGCTATCGGCTCGTGGTCCCCATCGGCCAATGGGTTGGAAGTCGGAGCAGCGTCAACCACAGCCGGAACCCCCTTCTGCCCGTTACCGCGTTCTGCCCTTTCCAGCTCCTTCAGAACGCTCCGAACAAAGTCAAAATCGTGCAGCGGACCTGCATATATCGGACCGCCCACTTGTACAGCACTGCCACATACGGGACATCGGTGGTGGCCAGCCTCCTCCGTGACTCGGCCGACACAAAACCGACCCTCCGTCTCTCCCGGAAACAATGGCACCTGGCGAATCGGCTCTGTTCCTCCCGTCTTCTCTCCTTCCGTCTTCTCACCTTCCGTCTTCTCACCTTCCGTCTTCTCACCCTTCTCTCCTTCCGTCTTCACCTTATGGTAGAGTTGTTCGTTATCATGGTCGTCGTGCTGTTGCTCTCCGTCGAGTGTCACAGCGCTGTCCCCTTGCTTGGTGCCCTGATCGGCGCTCAGCTCAGTACCCTGATCGGCGCTCAGCTCAGTACCCTGGTCGTTGCCGGGCTCAGTATCATCTGCCGCTGCCGGATGACATCGAGTTTTGTTCCTTCTGCGGTCGAGTTTTCTGCGTTTGTTTCTTTTGCTGTTTGGTGAGGCGTTCTTGGCTCGTGCACCGAAGGGTACGACAGTAAACCAGTCGCAGTTGGCGCATTGATGGACGGCGGCAGTTTGGGCGGCGATGGCGGCGCATTGTACGGGTTTGTCGTGTATGGTGACCCAGATTCGTACATAAAAGTCGACGGAGCAAGAGAGTAGTGGACGTACGTAGCGTCTGTACTTGGCTGCGGTCATACGGATGAGGTTGAGGACTAGCCGCAAGGACATTTCATGCAAGTAGCGAGCCTTGAGTGTATTGCCACCATACTTGTAAAAGGCGACTTCGGGGGCATTGCCGCCCAGGATAGGCATGTCCGTGCTGGTCACACAAAGCAGGCCACCATCCTTCACTGCACGGATGGCCGAGTCAACGAAAGGACTTACAGTGCCGTATGGGTCCACGTCCACTATGTCCCAACTCTTGGTACCGCAGACGTAACCACCGGACGTCATCAGTTCATTTGCATCTACCTCCAATATCTGTAACGGCAGCGAGCGACCCAGTTGCTCCTCATTGAGCCGCTTGTTCGCTTCCCCTTGCTTCACGGCAAATGAAGAAATATCACCCGCTACACCACTCCTCCAAAGACTACGTGGCAACTCTCGTGCATAACGTAGCGAACGTAAACAGCTTGCAGCCAATGGCTCACACACTGTCAACCCCTTCAACACTGTCGGCACAAATTTTTCCGCCCCTGCGAATCGATCCAGGGCCTCCCGGAACACGAGCTCACCGTAACATTTCGCCACCATCATTGACAGGTCACGATTAAATACCTGAGCTGGATTGTAAAACAACGTGTCCGAACTCGCTGCCTCAGCATCCGACTCCGCACGTACTGCCACCTTCCCCACCACACCCTGGCCGTGGATCGTCACACGACCTTCGGTTATATATTCCATCGCGAATTTTCGCCGCGGGAAATTAGACCTCAGCCGGAAATTAGACCTCACCACTAACGTCCCCGCCGAACTGGCTGCACCGAACAGCAACGTTCCAACCAGCGGCTCTTGAATATTGTACGCATAACGCCAGAGACTAAAGCTAGATTATTTTCAACTGACTGAATCTGGACGAAACTATCAGGTCGCACGCACGTCACGTAATTCAGTGGAACACATCTCGCACCCTGCGCTGTCCAGGTGACAGATCTTACACCCTGCGCTATCCAGGTGACAGATCTTACACCCTGCGCTGTCCAGGTGACAGATCTTACACCCTGCGCTGTCCAGGGTCGTGTTAGTTAACACTCTATGGTGTTAGCACTGTGTTGTGGTGTTTACACATTGTGGTGAACACTCTGGTGTGAACACTCTGGTGTGAACACTCTGGTGTGAACACTCTGGTGTGAACACTTTGGTGTGAACACTCTGGTGTGTATTACTTGCTCATGAGTCGAGCTTGAACATTCTGCGATTGGCTACTTGCGTCTCGCGGTAAGGATTTCTTTCCGCGTCCGGAGGGGAAGGTGGCGAGCTGGTCGGTGGTCTGACTAGGAGCAGTTCGCGACTTTCGTCATCGTCCTCGGGGTCGCCGATAAAATGGGTGAGCTTGGGGTCTCTATCAGTGGTTTGCCGGTTGCCCGCATAACGGCCGTCGAAAAGAAGGTCGTCGATCAGTTCAAGCATAACCCAAAGATCTTCTTCGCGTGGTAGTGTGTGCTTGAAAGGTACAATGGTATCCTTGGTTCGGTCTTTGAGAAGGAAGTTAAGTGTTGAGATGATCCGCAGGTTCTGGAAAGACTCAACCACACAACACTCATCCAACTCCTCAGAAGGCACAAATTTAACAAATATCTTCCGGTCCTCGAAATAACGACTTACTTGAATACCCAAACCACGAGTCACCGTCAACGTCTCTCTGGTAACCATCGGGATCTGTGTCCACGTAAATAACCACCACATCCAACTCAACAAAATCGCCACCCACATTCGCAACACATTCTCCTCTACTACCGCCTTCCCATTACCTGAACCACCAATTCCAAATTCCGACAAAATACCACGTCGTCGCCGCCACGTCGTCTCTCCAACCAACAGTGAGATCATAGAACCCGCCAACACACAAATACTGATCAGGTTCACACATATCGCTGTACGCCGAACCAACCACGTAAACACTGGCTTCCGATACGTCACATTCACACTCGAATTAGAGTGCCATTGGACCTCCATATTTTATGCAGCTTAAAATACAACTCTTCGGCGGCATCGAAACCTGGACCCCGCAACAACAAAAGGAACACACACTCACCGTAACCACCCCTCACCCGAGCCCCCGTCGTCCCCACCAACCTCCCTCCGTCCCCCCCCGACTCCACTCCACGTTTCTCCGATAGTGTCCAGACGGGACGCAGATGATCGGTCTCATCACCCAGTTCGCCAATGAGCTGCTGGAACCTGCTGGTCGGCCGCATTTCGTCTTCGAAGACGACGCCGGCCGAGTGGTGTTGCGCCCTGGCATCCTGGTCATGGTCAATGACACTGACTGGGAGTTCCTCGGCGACACGACCGAAGACAAGTACGCCCACGTCCTTCAAGACAACGACACCGTCCAGTTCATCACCACTCTGCACGGCGGCTAAACCACGCCGTCTAAAAATGATGCTTACTGCCGATTTTTTATCATCACCGACCTCGCAATCCCAATCCACGCCACCACGTGGAGAAGAGCAGTCATCATTGCCGACCCGCTGATCAGTCACCATTACCGACAAGCCGACGACCCAGGGCAACAGCAGCCCACCGGCTACCCGCCAACTCGCCTTCAGACAGCACAAAGTTCAGAAGAACGGGCCGGTCGTAGTTCCTCCGCCGTACTCGACGAGAGGGGCGCCACGGCAGAGTCCCGCCCGAGCGGGCTCGACCTGCTTGAGGCAAGCGGCTTGAGCCGGTCGTGCTAGAGTCCGTCGTGACGGTCGTGGTAGAGTCCGTCGTGACGGTCGTGGTAGAGTCCATCGGGCGGCCGCGCTAGAGTCCGGTCATTAAGACATGTGTTTGGCGTTTGGTAGTTTCGAAATTCTATTAAACCACACTTCAGACGCAATCTTCTGGACGCGAATTGGTCGGCCAAAATACTGACGTTGCGACATTGTCTGGTAGCATTTGTCCGCTTCTTGTGCGTGGCTGAACAAGACGTATACGTCGCCAGTGTCAACAGTGTGATCTTGAGCACCGATGTCGGGAGTCACGAGTGCGGCACCGATGACTTTGCCACAGCCAGCACAGCCCTCAACAATGTCATCCAGAACCTCCAAGTACTCCTCTGGACCGTCCTCCACGTCATTTTCAAGGACCATTCGTTTCATTAGGACTAGCCGCGAGTCGGCAATCTGTCCAATGATTTGATTCACACCCGCAGCACTCGTCTTAGGCAAGAGATTAGGAGGTACCATTTGAGTCGGCAGCGCACCAGATTGGTTGGTGGCACTACAGTAATCATTCGGCCGGGAGATCTTGATCGTTACACCCATAGTCTCCATACCATCCATGGTCAACGCTCTTTCCGTCTCCTCAACCGAAGCAAATTCCACAAAGCCGTAATTCCCTTTGTCCTTAGCAAACCATACACACAACACCGGATCTAAAAGACTCTCTCGTGCCCGGGGAGGACGTGTCGGGGAGGAGGTGTCGGGGAGGAGGGGTCGGGATCGTTGTTACTCTCATTCGGGTCACTACATAGGCCCCGTCTCCTCATTTCTTCGAAAATCTGCTGCTGGAAATTCGCTTCTGTCAATCCAAGATGCAACGGCAGGTTGCCAAAATACAATCGCCGCAACTTCCGAGTGCTATTAACCATTCGTGGGTCCGATAACAATGCAGACTAAGAGGAAATAAACGTATCAAATAATTCGCACCGCCTCAACCAAAGACATTCAGTGACGGAATAGCTAATACAACTTACGCTTGCTCCGGTTTTGGCCACCCATTGGAATCCGTCCCAGAATAGTAGCACTGGCTTTTTCCCTTCTGAATTTGCCAATTTCTTGAATCCTCCTGCTCGCCTAATGCATTCAGCTTGCATCTTTCGGCGCCTGCGCTCACGCTCTCTTGATCGTTGCCTCTCCGGCGACAAATCTGTCCTCCTTGACCTTCGACTTTCCCTATTCTCTACTGGAGGCTGCGAAGGATGTCTATCGCCCGCCAACGAGTCTCCATTTCCTCCTCCGGCTGGGGACCTGCTGGTTGCTCTCGACGGTGAAGGCGACCGACTAAAATTGCACTGTTATTTACAGCGCACACGTGTGTGCTATCGATTATGCCTACCTCCTATATCTTGTTAACGGCTTGTAAGGTTCACTTCGACGACCGTACCGTCCTTCAGGCTCCATCTTTTTTAAATTGGGGGCATCCCAGTTATACAGAAACCCGCCCCCTGAAGATTGGTGGACAAGAACCGCAGATGTTATACGATCACCCAAGTTCTACGTAAGCGTGAAACGTTTAGATGAGTGTCTAGTGACTTGAATACGAGCTTACGGCCTTAAATGAATCAGTCTGGCCCCTTGTCGACGGAGTGATCCTCGTTTATTCCCGTTCTCGGAATTTCTATGAGGTGTTGCTCCAAGGGCCGGCACTAGATCGTTTAAGGACTTCAGTAGATCCTCCCCATTGTACCGAATCCCCCAGTACCGTTGGATTTTAGTGGCTTTACCCATTTGTGATGTTTGCAATTTTCGTTATCTGGATGGAACTTAAGATCGGTAAGGCAGGACTATCGGGGTACATGCATTAGTTACAGACATATGCGCATGAGTTTTGGTTTTGTAGTTGTCCAGAAGTCTTGAAGACTTCAGAAATCTGAACTTCTCAAGTTGGTCGAAGTCTTCAAGGCCGTTTTTCGAGATCGTCGGAAAACTGACCTGGGCGAAACGTGATCCCCAAAAGCTAGTATGGATCCTGCGGCAGACACCCTGGCTGATGCTTTATGGAAGCTTACGACAGAATTCAATAGCGACTTGTGGAGGCCTCCTTCCCAAGACGAACGCTCGTGGCCAGCAACGCCGCCTGCTCGGAAATTTTCGTCGCCGCTCGCAACCACCACTCCCCCCTCCTCTTCCAGCGCGGGGAACGGCCGGCGACGACCTATTCGTTCCGCGGGCACGGACGACGACAGTGCACAGCTGTATCTGGACTCGACGGTAGTTCTCCTATCGGCATCAAATACGACAAATTCACCTCGTGTTTACTCTGCTGGCCCCTCCGAGGACCCTTTCGTCTCTGCGCCGTCGACCTTTGCCCCCTCGCCCTTGACGACCTGTGACCAAGCCAAGTTCAAGCCAAGAACTAATTCCGGCGGCGGTCGTCAAGCCATGTCGCAGCTACAACGCTCGGAGGTGGGGCCCGTGCTCAGTGATTCTACAACCGGACACAGCAGCAGAACCACGTACTGTCGCGAACCCTTCGAACGTCGAGAAGCGTTTGACCGTCGAGACCCTTTCGAACATCGTGAACCGTTCGCTTTAGACCAGCGTGGAGCTTTAGACCGTCGAGACGCGACTACATTCGGTCGCAACAGTGGGTTTGGCAATGCCTGGGACTTACTGGGCGAGGCGCCAGTAGCGTCTTCTTACTCCGCAGGCGACCGTTACGGCGACTCGGACTCGTTAAGTCCGTTGTGTACCAGTCCTGCTGTGCTCACACAGAGTTCCTTCCTGCCTCCGCGGCGTAAGTGCACCGACATACCGCCGACAGAAAGCTTTCTGGTCAGCGTCGCTCCGGCAGACTACCAACTGGATGAAAAGGACGTTTGGCAAGTCTTCGCATTGCTCGCTGACGTGCATGCCGTAAAGGTCCTGGGCCCTCACCAAAACTGCGCGCTCGTTACCGTCACGCAGGGGCAGGCTGCCGCTGTGGCCGCACTCCTGGACGGTCACTCCCTCAACGGAAACGCACAAGAGTCCCTCAGCGTTACTCTCCTCAACGACGCCAACCAACTGGAATCCCCAGCACCTGCCGGTGCCTCCCGAACCCACGCATCCGAAGAACGCAAGGCATCGCGACATGGACAAGAAACACCTCACGTACGCCCCACCGGTCGTTCCACCCCTCGTCGTCCCATCCCTCGTCCTACGGGTCGTCTTATGTGTCGTCTTCCCCTTTATCCCATCCGTCATCTTCCCCTTCGGTCTTCACTTAAGTTTCATATCTCAGGTCAAGGCCAAGACGAAATCGACCGCAATGGCAAATAGAGTAGTCTCTCCCAGCCGCGGCGGCAAGCAGACGGACTCCGCCGCCGCAAGAAGCCGACGCGGAGCTGAGCCGATCCGGAAGTGGACGGTGCGTTACGAAATTCAAATTCCCGCAAACAACGATTTCCAGATCACGCGGAGAATCATCGGTGTTCGGGTAAGAGGGGAAGGGGCTGGGCGCAGGAGAGGGAAGATGGGGAGAGGGATGAGAGATGCCGGTCTGTGCAGGGCAACAACATGAAGAGTGTGAATCAAGCCACTGGCGCTAAGTTGCGCCTCCGGGGTCGGGGCTCCGGATACTTGGAGGGCCTGGGCAAAGAGGAAGCGAACGAGCCATTGCATCTGTGCATAAGTTGCACGGATGAGGCGGGCTACCGTAATGCCCGACAACGGACCGAGCTATTGCTAAAGACAGTTTACGACGAATTCGACCAGTGGTGTCTAGAACGAGGAATCAAACCACCACGTCTCGCCATCAAGGCGAAGGAACTACTATGTATGCACTCTCCTGTATGACCCCCGATGGACTCACCACCCTTGGTGGACTTACCGCTATTGGTCCTGCCACTGTTGGTCCATCTTTCGTGACCCAACCCTCGTCCCCTATCTATTTCGACCATCCCGTACTACGACCATTCCTTGGCACGACCATTCGTTACTCTATTGCCTACTGTTCCTTGCTTCGTAGTACCTGCAAGATCTCCGAGCACATGATCCCCGAGCACATGATCCCCAAGCTCATGATACGAATTGCCTAAAGCCGGTTCACCGCCCAAAACCGGTTCGCCTGATTGGTCTGACGAAGTAGGTTGAGCGCGACATGTGAGGATATTTTTTGGAAAGTGACTTGGCACTATGCTTATTGGCACTGTGCTTGTTGGCACTATGCCTATCGGCACTATGCTTGTTGGCACTTTTGCTGATAGGCACTTTTGCTGGTAGGCACTGACTTGATTCTAATTTGTTAAAAAGTTCACGGGCAGTGGCTTAGGGTGCGATAGTGAAGGTGCCAGTTTCCCAGTCTGCGTGTTTGATGGAGTTGCCGTGATCAGATTTCAGTTTGAAAGTGTGTGCTCCGAAGAAGTCTCGTTGGGCTTGCACGAGATTGAGTGGTAGGTTGGCGGTGCTGAGTGTAAGGTAGTAGTTGAGTGAGGCGGCCATAGCTGGGACAGGTATGCCTTGTTCGGCGGCAAGAGCGACGACCTTCTTCCAATCTGCCACGGCTTGTGGTGTGAATTCTTGTGCGAATCTGGGGGCAAGTAGCATGTTCGGAGGTTTATTTTGTTCGTATGCTTGCATGATCCATTTGAGTAGTTCAGCCCGTATGATGCAGCCGCCTGTCCAGCAGCGAGCGACTTCCTTGAGATCGACGCCATATTGATGAACTTCACTGGCTGCATCGATGAGGGAGAGGCCTTGTGCGTATGAGCAGAGTTTGGACAAGTATAGAGCGGTCTCGACTTCGGCGAGTGATAGGTTACCGGCGACGGCGGGTGAGGAGGCGCCGAATGTTTGGAAGAATGCAGGTCGGGCAGTGAAGCCGCTAAGATAGCGACTATCGAGAGCGGCTTGAATAGTGGGGCAGGGCACGCCCTTTTCGCAAGCTTCCTGGACAGTCCACTTGCCAGTGCCCTTGGAGCCTGCTACATCTAACACATCGTCAACTAGTTTTTTCTGGTGATTATCTGGGTGAGGAGTGCGCAGCACAGTTTCTGTGATCTCAATCAGATAGGAGGCCATGCGGCCTTTGTTCCACTCGGCAAACACATCCGCAGGATCCTTGGCAGGGCAAAGTCCGGAACGAAGTATGCTATAGGCCTCGGCAATCAATTGCATATCACCATATTCAATGCCGTTATGTACCATCTTCACGTAGTTGCCTGCAGATCCTTTGCCCATAAAGCCCACACACGGTCCAGTCGAACTCTGCGCCGCGATCTTTGTTAAGATGGGCGCCAACTGATCATACGTCTCACGCGTTCCACCAGGCATCATTGCCGGACCGTAACGCGCCCCCTTCTCACCGCCACTAACTCCCATACCGAAGAATACAATACCCTTCTGTCCTGCCAATGATGAACGACGGTCTGTGTTCTCGTAAAATTCATTCCCGCAATCAATCACGATATCAGACGGCTTCAACAACTCCAACAACTCACCCAACGTAGCATCCACCGCAGCACCCGCCTTCACTAACAACAAAACCTTACGCGGCTCCTTCAACGACGTCACCTATAACATAACATCCGTGTGGACTATCTGCCGAGATGGACCACCCCCTAGACTATCGCTTACAAAATCTGCCATCTTCTCATGGCCATCAAGAGTAAGGGAGTCTTTCTTCGCAACGTCTACAGCACTCAACATCCGTGCCGTAGTCCGGTTGTATACCGCTACCTTGAAGCCCTTCTCCGCCGCGTTCATGGCCAGATTCAGGCCCATGACACCCATGCCAATCACACCCAAGTCATTCATACTCCAAAATTCGTGACCGAAAAATGCTTGCAATAGTTATCGTGCAATAGTTATCATGCAATAGCTATCACGCAATAGCCATTATGCAATAGCCATTATGCAACCTGTATACCAGTCAGTACAAGCATTCCAGAGCTAGCACTACGACACAGGGCTAGGACGTACAATGTATGAACCAGTGACGGAGACAACAACCGTCTCTCCCTCATCGAACACTCAATGCAATGGCAAGAATTGGCAGTGACTCAGCTACGATAAGCGTGGAAGACGAAAAGTAAGATAGAAAGCAAGAGACTAGGGAATTGGGTCGAAAAATGTTGGTTGGAATTAGAGCCCAACACCGGCGAGTCTGGCAGTGCGATCGAGGATGCCTCTTACAGCGCCTCCGGTACCGGAGCTATTGACGATGGAGAAGACGGGTTCGAGTAGTCCTTGGCCGATGTTCTGGCCGATGTTCTGGACGAGTCCTGTACCGGCTTCTGCGGTCTGGAGGAGGGGGTAATTGAAGAGTCCTCCAAGGGCCCCGCCACCAAGGGCGCTGCCACCAAGGGCGCCGGCGAGAGGTCCAGCTACGCCCAGGAGTGAGTTGGTTCCGGCGGTGGTACCTGCAAGTAGGTTTTGTATTGGTCCATTAGAGTTATTAGGAGCTCCGTTCCCAGTGATGATGTCATTCAGACGATCGAAGGAGCCTTGAATAATATCTCCAGCCACAAAGAGTTGGCGCTTATTTTCGTAAGCATTGGCTGGGTTGAAAATTCCGAGCTCAGGGAAATTCATATAAGTAGGTGCTTCGCCAGGAATGCGCTCATACTTGACAAAGGAAGGGAAAGACTGTGGCAGTAGTCCTGCAGCAGAGGACGCCAAATTCGTTCGACCACCATTAGTGGCCTGGAGTGCCGCTCCAGCCCAAGGGAATTCGACATTGACAGGCGGGATGGCTATAGAGAAACGTCCAAGACCTGGGATTTCGGCCACAGTGTTAGGGTTCATCAAATTAAACACTTGGGGATTCAGTGCCGCATTAATCTGTTCCTGAGACCAACTGGCGGGATTGAGCGGTCCCATAATTGGAATATCCGGTACGAATTGGGGCAACAGCGAGCCTGCAGGCACTTCAATTTCACGGAAGCCATGCACCAATGGGGCCGGGAACCCAGCTGCCTGCATTCGGTGAGCAAAGGTCTGCATCGACGGTGTGATATTGCGCGTAAACTCGCGCGCCTGACCCTGCACTTCGCTCCAAAAATCAGTCAACGCAGATTTGGCCTCTGCCGGATTCAATAAACTCAACATTGAACCAGGCCCTGACGAAACAGACTCCGGCGACACTTCATCGTCCTCGTCCTCATACACCACATCGTCCTGGCGCTGCTGATCTCCTGCCTCATTTTCCCCACCATCATCTGGATCTGCATCGTCGAAACCCCCTTCCGTGAAATCGTGGCGATTTTCATTAACCTCCTCCTGCATCACCTTCAATTCAGATGCAGCCACAGACGGCTGCGGCTCCGTCACTTTTTCGGCCGCCGAATTCAGGCCGAACAGAGCGAATATAAGAAACTTCAGACTCCTCATCTCGCGGACTTTCTCTTAGTCGGTCTTGGTCTTCGTTGGTTGGTCGACTATAGGCTAGTCTGGTCGGTGCTCGCGCACGTGCGTGTGTTTGTACGCGAGCGGTATGCATTGCGCCCGATGACGTAAATACGCGTCTATTTTTTCATGGCCTGTAGCAAATACGAGTACGTAAAATCATTCGAACTTGACGATACACTACTCCCTGAAACCTATATAGTCCTCAGAATAGACGGTAGAGGATTTACTAAGTAAAATTGCCACTCAACCGGGCACCTAGCACCCAACCTGGGGCAACCACTAACGGAATCCATGTCTGTAGCGGCACTCTGTAGCAGCACAGAATATCCGCGAACGCGACATAGTGTTGTGCTTCAGGTTTACAGAAGAATTAAACTTCAGAAAGCCTAATGACAACCGAGGACTCTGGGTAATGACTAGAGCCGCTGTGGACCTTATGGTCGAGCTTGGCGGCGAGATAATTCTGAGTTATGGACAAAGTGACGAGTATTCGTTCGTGTTCCGAAAACGAACGAGTTTATACAACAGACGCCGGTCGAAAATCCTGTCCACCGTTGTGTCCATCTACACTGGGGCCTACCTACGCCATTTATCCATTGTGTTCCCGCATTATGATTGGCGTTCAATTCGGAAGCAAGGCAACAAGACCAAGCAGGTAAAAGGTCCCATTTTTGATGGCAGAATCATCTTGTATCCGAACCTACAGGTCTTGCAGGATTACCTAGCATGGAGACAAGTGGATTGCCACATTAATAATTTACACAACTACTGCTTTTGGAACATGGTATACAAGGCCAAAGCGGAGCTCACAGCCAAAGCGAAGGTCAATGCCGACAAAGCGGATCTTAGTGCCGGCGATGCGACAGTCATCACATCAGACAGCGTACAAGGACCACATAGCGCACAAGGACCACATAGCGTACAAGGACCACATAGCGCACAAGGGCCACATAGCGTGACTGGCAACGAAGTCACAGTTGGAAGGCTGTCAGAGGTAAAGGATGCTGTGCACCATGTACTAAAACTCACCAATTCAAGTGGTAAAAATGAAATCCTCTTTAGCCAGTTCGGTATCAACTACAACACGCTGCCAGAACTGCACCGGAAAGGTACTTTGATATACCGCACCGGTCCCTCCCAGAGTCTTACATCGTCGCTTGTTCACCACTACCCACACGCAACCGACACACTAGCAGACGATCCCTATGACACCACAGAAGAAGGCCTAATCGCAAACGACCAAGTGCTTCCGTTCCACAGGTTTTGTTCTGATTCCCCTTTTCGGACGACCGCCGCATCATTGGTGGTTAGTCATCAGGACTGCATTAAAAAAGATTTTTGGCAACAGAGGGACTTCCTTGTCCACCTTCTGGAGGACTAACGCACGTTGACTAACGCACACACGTTTGATTGAGATAAATAGACGCATTTAGTCCCGAACACACGTTCGAACCCACGCAGTGGGGTCAGGCCGCTGCGTGCGCGAAGTCCTGAGCAGCCGTTCTATCCAGATACACACACGTACGCGTTAAGTCGCGTATACACGTTAAGTCGTATACACGTTAGGTCATGTGAAGTCCAATCCAGACAGCCAAAGAGCACTGTTCCGTTGCCATAGAGTGCCCCATCGCACAGAACGTAATACTTGTCTCTTTGATGAAATACACGGGGGTTCGATCCCCAGCGATGCGCATTACTATAATTTGATGGTTGGTGCTTTCCGTGGAGAGTCGCTATGGACTCTATGTGTGCGGCAATCCGTTGCAGCTCGAGCGACTCTGGCGAATTCCTCTAAGTTGGTTTTGTTAGAATAATTGATGTCTGCACCGAAGGACTTGCGTGCGGCATGCTTGTTGGTTGACGAGCCCGTTCTTTGAGGACTCACATGATAGCTGGTAATAGGACTGGCATGATTTGCAGATCTGGTCTCAAGCCTAGGTCTAGATCTGGGTGCAGATCTGGAGACAGGTCCGAGCCTTTCGGTACTTGGCCGTTTCGGCGCAGACTCTGCTTCCAGAGCAGGCGTTCCTGCGTGATTTGTGACCGGTGGGGAGGAGGCATGATAGGGAGTCATTCCACGAGCAGTTACCGCTCCGTTCCGAGTGGAGTTAAGGACTTGTCCAGTGGTTCCGAAATAGTTATGATGGTCCTTCAGGTATCGTTCGTATGTAGGGTCGGAGTACTTGAAATTCCGCATGGTCTTGAGAGCTCCGATGGCGGGTATGAAGTCAGGGTTTGGCTTCCTGGTCAAGCTACCAGCTTCACGGGCAATTGCGTTTACGTATACACTATTATGGATGACTCGAGGATCTGGCCTTGGCCCCTTGGGTAACCTCAAGGGCGGTACGGGCTTCCGTATCTGGATGTCTATAGGTTCATTACTGCTAGGAATGGGCCTGCCGGTGAAATCTTCCAGGAGCAAACCTGTCAAATACTTGTCACTCTGTCCGCTAGCTTCTACCAGCGACTGGTTACAAGAACGAACCAGTCCGTTATACTGCCCATTGGATAGCGCATTCGGAGACATCCATTTGTGGTCCTGAGCTTTGAGACCATTAAACCAGACCGGCTGTTTAACGGGCTTTGGAATATGCACTAGAACCTTACACAAAACGGGGTCATAGTCGTAGACAGGCACATCCACGGCACTGTCCACTGTTTTAAACTCTGGCTGCACAATCTGTCGGTATACAGTTGGCACGATATGGTCACGGTACCGTGGAATCACAATCTTGTTCTGAACTTCGAAATGGTTTTCTTGCTCAATAATCTCACCTGGTATCTCCACGACCTGCTCCCTTACTACTACAGTATCGACGGGTTTCTCTACCGTCTTTTCGACAGGCACCTGTACCACCTTCTTTACCGAAACGTGTTTCAGCACTTCCTCTTCGTGAATTATAGGAACCTCACGAACCACCTCGTCCACATACAATTCCTCAACCTCCTTCTCCACTGTCTTCACCTGAACGTCAGGCACCTCCTTCACAACGTCCACGTACTGCACAACTGGAATCTCCACAATCCGCTCCTCCGGAACCAGCTTCTCGACGTACTTGATGTACTGGCCGCTCACCGGGTCGTAATCCTGGCGCAACACACGCCCCAACGGCGACCCCGACGGCGATGGTGACCCCAACGGCTCGCCTCCCAAGTTGCTCGAAGACGTCAACGGCTGACCCAATAAAGGTTGACGTGGCGACGGCTGACTCAAGGACGCCGTCTGCGGTGCAGTCATCTGCGGTGCAGTCAGCCGCGGTGCAGTCATCTGCGGAGGAGTCCACGCCTTCTCCCGGCGACTGGACTCTTGGGTAAAAGAACTCGTAGAATTGTCCCCGTAGCCGGGACCTCCCCTTACCGTGGAACTTCCCCGCGTGGGACTCCCCCTGGGGTTCATAGGGCCACCAGGTGACAAGGGATTTTCCCGAGCAACACCTGCGGAACCACCGTTCCCATAAATCATACTTGATAAGAAAAAGAAAAATTTCCGCCTGGAGATCTAGATCGGACCGCAACTCTCTCAAATGTCATCCTCCGACTGAACATCATCGCATGACTGGCATGTCAATCAACGTCCCTCAAAGTGCCCTTCAACGTCCCTCATAGTGTGATCAATTCAAGCCAGACAACCCAAAACCCCTCCATTAGTTAGCTCTCTACCTAGATCAACCCGTAACGTCGATCATAACATTGCCTAGACGTTCACTGGCGCCCCTATTCAAATGGGTTCCGAAGCACCATACGCCACATGCGACGCGATAGCTTAACAGTTACATCTGAATCGGTTAATTCAGTGCGCCTAGAAGTCAAATATAAATTAATGAGTAAGGTTGCGGAACCGTATGGAACCGGGGTGTGGGTTCAAGTAGGTCAAATAGGGGCAGTCAGGCGGGCTACCGGAAGAACTTGGCGACCGCTTGTTCGGGATCTGTTCCTTTCTTAAGTTTCCGTCTGTTAGAGGAATGTAGCCAGTTGCGAACTAATAAGGCCGTGCCGAGTACACACACATCTTGGGGTACATAGTAGATTAGTGTGTAGATAATGGTCTTCACGGAGAGTGAGTTGCAATCGACTGCATTTTGTCGACGGTTCAACCACGAGCATACTCTGCCTGTCAAGTCCATTCGCGGAGAAAAGAAAAAGCCATCGACCCAAGCTTTATTTGTAGCGACTGGGTCCAGTGGCTGGTCATCTGAGTCCAGTGGCTGGATCTCTGTTACCGTGTGGGCTTGGTGCTGAGCCCGCTGCTCAACTCACGGTCTATTGTCTTGTTCCCTACAATCTATTGTCTTGTTCCCTACGCGTCCTTTTTCGTCTAGAGCTGTTGCCGCCTCGAGTGAAGGGAACCCCCCTTTGTCTGGGTGAGCCGGGCGGTTGATAACCGGGTGGTTGATAACCAGGTGGTTGATAACCAGGTGGTTGAAAACCAGGTGGTTGAAAACCAGACTGTTGAAAACCAGGTGGTTGAAAACCAGGTGGTTGAAAACCAGGTTGTTGAAAACCAGATGGTTGGAAACCACCCCCCGGTGGCGCACCGACGGCCATGAGGTCGGCGTAAGGGTTGCTTTGGACGGTCGGTCCACGGGAGCCGGGGGTGAGTCCGCGGGAACCGGTATGGTGCGGAGGTCTTCCCCGACCAGACATCCCAGCCGTCACAGGTGAGTAGCGCTGATTGGATCCGGGTGGAGGTCCCCTGGCAGGATGAGAGTTTGGTGGCATTCCACTTGGTGGCATTCCACTTGGTGGCATTCCACTTGGTGGCATTCCACTTGGTGGCATTCCACCTGGTGGCATTCCACCAGAAGACATTCCGTTAGGAAGGTTAACGGGCTGGGGAGGTTGGATGGGCCTGGGTATGATGCCTAGATCGTTCTTATTGAAGGAGTATACGAGGTTTTGAGGTGTGACGGTTTGTGGTGCGCTTGGTGGTTGTCTGAGTCCGATTTTGGTTTCGAGTACTAGTTGTTCTTTTGGACTAAGATTGAAGAAGGTGAGATGATCGATGCGAGGTAAGTCTTGTAGTGGGGTTCCCAGAAGCAGATCTTCTGATGGTGCATTGTAGAGGCGGGAGCAGATGGCTTCGGCGATTTCTAACGGCATTTCCTGGCCGTCACGACTCTTTTTGAGTGGCCGGTTTTCGTTCCAAGGGTTAGTGAATGCGGAAAGAGCTTCGAAATCGAGTTTCGCCTGTTTCAGCCATTGCACACGGAAGTTGGGCGATAACTTGTTACTGAAACTGCCCCAGATACGGGGGTACAATGTCTCATCAAAACCACTGGCCATTCGCGCATATCCTTGGAACCCACCTGACTCGTTTGCACTCATTAACAGCACTACATGGTCGCATGTCAACCATGCCTGTCGGAGCTTTTCCTGGTTGTTCTTCCCCGTTGCCCAAATTCCGCGCTGTACCGATGTCAGAATGTTCTCGATCTTGCCAGATTTGATAACGAAACATCGGATCTTCGGGCCCCCAACTCCCCGGTTCGAATCGCCGTTCGGACACAAAGAAGTTGTTGGCAATAATTCCTCCAAAGGATGGTACGCCGTGCTTCGCCCCGTCAACCGCTCTACGAACCCGGTCCAGGTCTGCGTACTCTGCTGCCGCTCCTCCTCGCTGAGAGCCGGTACACCCAGGAGCAAGCCACTAGCTCCGGCTCCTCCAGCTCCGCTAGGGGCCGACTGATGAACCGCATTGCCGGACTGGTGTCCGTCGTAGGAGCTAATGATGAGTGACAAGTACCAGTCGGGTAAGGGTGCCAAAGGTAGGTCACGGCGTTCCAGACGGATGTGCTGCTGATGGCAGGCGGGGCCATGTGAGCAGTAACCAAACAGGTAGCGCATACAGACATCGCCGCCATTGGTAGACTGCGTCATGGCCGGGCTTCGTTCGCGAGTACGATTACTTCCGGCTCCTCGCACCTCTTGTTGGTCATGTTTTAGAGCGCAGAAACCTAACACCTGATCCACACATCGACCATGTCGCTTCTGATTCCGACAATACGGCATACGACTATCATCAAATACATGAAGAAAATCGCATCGACTTTCTTTAATGCAAATACCACGTAACCAATGCCGGCAAACTATCTCATGCCGAGCCGGCCGTCGAGATGTCTCCCTCCCACCTTCCTCAGATGTAGAGCTTGACAGATAAAACCTCTCTGCTATAAATGGCACACAACTTTCGAACTCATATTCCACGTCATTTTTCATCACCACACCCGAGGAAAAATGCACATTCTACCGACCGGATATATTCTACGGGCCCCTCGGACGCCTGGTGGACGCCTAGTGGACGCCTGGTGGACGCCTAGTGGACGCCTGGTGGACGCCTAGTGGACGCCTTCCTTTCTTTGTGAAGGTGGACTTTTCTGAAGGTGGGATTTTCATGAAGACGGGTCCCGTCGACAATGGTTCATCTACACGGGTTGACGGCAGTTGTAGACCTGGCAGCGGGGCCGTACGTCTTTGGCGTTGGGTCGATTGTTGTCGGGTCCGGGTCGATACGGGTCAAGCCACCATTCGTATTCATAGATTTTATGTTGAGCCAAGTCGAGCAATAAGAGCCCGCCTGCGTATTCTTTGTTATTATGCGAGGTTAGAGGAGCATCTACAGATGCATTGACAGGAAGCGTTTCGGGAGGGACGGGGGAGAGTAGAAAATCTCTCTTCGTTAAAGACGGGCATCTCACTAAGAGAGCACCCGTGTTTCTTTCGCGAGCAATATTCCATGCATCGTTCCGATGGACGTAAATGACTTCAGCTGTCCCCACATTCAACGGCAACGGTGGCGGCGGAATTAGTTCCACCAAAGGCAAATTCTCGGACTCATTCTGGCCGCCCGCCTCCGTACTCGCCACCCACAAGTGCTCGTACTCATCTAAGACCACCAGGTGATACGGCCCCAGCGCCAGAGCGGCCCCTGAACTGGTGAAAGTTGTACCCGGCAACTCGGGCTCTTGCTGAAACGTCGGCAGAAACGATAACGCCGGGTCACGCCTCACGATCTTCGAAGCACCAGTCAACTCCCTAAGCTTCGCCATGTACTCCAACTCACCACTGCCCACCTCCCCTAAACTTGGAACTCTAACACCAGCAAGGGAGAACGCCCAAAGGGAAGGGGGGGGGGGGGAGATTTATTGGGAATGGGATGCGTACCGATGTCCAAGACTGTAAGACCTTGTTTGGCCTTCAGCTTCTGAAGGGTGGCATATACTGCCGGGTCCAGCCCACTTGATATTTCCGGATATCCGTAACGACCGAGAATTAGGACCCACCCGTCAGAGCCGGCCTCCGTCATTTCTAAAAGCGGCTTGTTATCAGGCCAAACCAAACAGGCTTGTTATCAGGATGTTAGGCGAGCTGCCTACAAAGTGGTCCGTTCTGTCTTATTTTTTTTTGAGCTGATAAAGGTTTGTCCTGGCTAAGGATGGGGTCCATCAAGACACTCGCGTTGAAGGTCAAGCTCGCTAAGAAGGCCAAGCAGAACAGACCTCTGCCTCACTTCTTGCGAACCATCCCCGGTTACAAAATCAGGTAAGTGTTTGGTATACGTCGCTGCGACAAAAACCAATTGCACCCGCCCGCACCAAGTCTCCATCCACCCAACGACACGGTTCAACTTTGTAGATGGAACAACAAGAGGCGCCACTGGAGAAGAACGAAGCTCAACGTGAATGTTTAATTTTTTTCCTCACCAACGTATGCACTCATCCGTCCTTGTCACAGTGTTCGTTTCCCCTCCACGACCTGGCCGGCGAGGTCTAGGTCCGTGGGATGAGTCCGCTGAAATGGGTCTTCTTGTCGCACACACTTCTTGTCGACGCGTGTGCACACAACCAATCAATTAATTAAAGAGTGTAATTACTTATTTTTAGTCGATATGGTTCACACAATTCTTCTGTAAGCATGCCCCTCGAGGCAAGCCCTTACCTCCTACAGTGCTTTTGAGTCTCCTACAGTGTTAAGAGATTGCGCTAGCAGGTCTATCTCTGACCATCACTATCTCTGACCATCACTATCTCTGACCATCACTATCTCTGACCATCACTATCTCTGACCTGAGTACATTTCGTTTCCTAGTACTGGTGGTGCTGGGTTTATTGGCAGTCATACTGCCATTCAATTGGCGAACACGGGTCGTTACAAGGTGGTGATAGTGGACAACTTTGCGAATTCGTGCATGGCTGCGGTGGATGCGGTGAGAAAGTTGTGTCCGGAAAGTTCTGTAGAATTTCATAACATAGACATTTCGACTGATGTGGAGAAGTTGAAGGCTTTAAAGTTTGAGGGTGTGGTTCACTTTGCTGCATTGAAGGCGGTAGGTGAAAGTGTAGCTCAGCCGTTGATGTATTACCGGAACAACATTAATTGTATGATCAATGTGATTGAGGCTGCGAAGCATGTGGGCGCCAAGTACTTTGTATTCTCATCGTCTGCAACAGTATACCAGCCGGCGGAGGGTTTGTTGACCGAGCAGCATCCCCTTGGTCCCTCGAACCCGTACGGTCAGACCAAGTTTATGGGTGAGCAGATCCTGAAGGATTTGTGGGTCTCTGACCACGATTGGAAGATCATTTCATTGAGATACTTTAACCCGATCGGAGCTCATGAATCGGGCACTATCGGCGAAGATGCATCCAAAGCATCAAATCTCATGCCTTGTATACATCGTGCTCTCTTCATGAACCAACGACTCCAAGTCTTCGGAGATGACTGGCCCACTGTTGATGGCACTGGAGTACGCGACTATGTCCACGTAGTAGATCTTGCCGACGGACATGTGGCCGCGTTAGACGGACTATTCGGCTACAAGGAAGGCCGATACAACGTCTATAACCTAGGCACCGGCCGCGGAGCCAGCGTTAAAGAACTCATGAACGCATTTGAGAAAGCTTCAGGCCAGAAAATCGACCACTTCATCGGACCACGCAGACCAGGTGACCTCGCCACTGTTATCGCCGACCCATCAAAGGCCGAAAAGGAACTCGGCTTCAAGACCAAGCGAACAATCGAACAAGCATGCGCAGACTCCTGGAAATGGATGTCGGCCTACCCCCATGGCTTCGATGTCAAAAAGTAAATACCGGAGTTGAGTTTTGTGCAGAGGTTGAACTAATTTTCAAGTGGCGTCTAGCGCTAGGAACCGACCGAGTCTATTTTTGTCTGTATGTCAGATACCCTTAAACCAATTCTTTTGTGTGCGATCCTGTTATGCCCGCTCCGTCGTACTCATAATGTCGTCGGTCACTGCCGCACGCGCGCACTTTTTGATTGCGGACGGGCTCAAAACTGCGTCCGTAACCCCAAAAAGTTCTGCCGTCAACGTTACTGCACAGGCGCGTAAGGACAGGCATGCTCCTCGGACACCGGTGTGTTCCAGACCTTCAGTAGGAGGCGGTCGCGTTGGTGGCAGTTTGGCCCAGTAGGTTATTTCGGACGCTGGACGCACCAAATCTGAATCTCTCTTTGCAAGCCCATTCTGGTCCGAGGACGTCGCAGACGGCGTAAAGTAGATCCTTGCAGTCGCTTTCCGTCTTAATTCCTCCAGAGGGCTTGACTCCGCAATTGCGGCCAGACCCCTTGACTGCTTCGGCCATGATTTTGACCGAGTCTACCGTTGCGCCGCCTTCGACTTTGCCCGTGCTAGTTTTGACAAAGTCGACTCCGCAGTTCGCACACACGTGTGCGGCGCTCCGAATTTGGTTGAAATTAAGTTGGGACGTTTCTAGAATGGACTTGGTCTTGCAGGGCTGGCTGATTTCGACCATTTTCGTGACATAGGCGGCCAGGGCCGCCTCGGCCGCGTCCTGGTCAGTCTCCCAGTCCCGCTTGAACGCCTCCCATGGAATAACAAAGTCGATTTCATCTGCGCCAGCACTCTGGGCCGCCTTGATCGCATCCGCGCACTCTTCAGGCGTAGAGCGACCTTCAGGGAAATTGATTACCGTAGCGACCGACACTCCGCTATCGCCCAAGGCCTGCTTGGCCACGCGCACGAACTCTGGGTAGACGCAAACTGCAGCGACCCGCACCGGGGATTGCGCCTTCGCACACAGCTCCCTTATACTCTCTTCGCTGTCAGTGGCCTTATTCAGTGATGTTAGGTCCAACAACGAAAGGTACAACTCCGCGTCCCGATTCATCCTTTTCTCCCAAGCCCTCGAAATGAAAACCCAAAACGCCGCCGACAAAAAGACCACGCCATGACTGCGGAAACTTGTTCCGCAGCACAGACATCGTCGTCGCGCAATTGATCTGGTCACTCATTTTGTTTGTGTGTTCGCGCGCACGCGCTCGCTCGGTCATGACGCCAGAAAGAAAAACGGCTTTGCGCCAGCTGTCTATTTGGCTCACAACACAGCTGCTAAATGCGCCTAGCTGTCGGCTGGTTTATTCGGTGTAATCATCCTTCGGCGGCTGCCTTATGTCGGCTGCCTTTTGTCGGCTGCCTTTTGTCGGCTGGTGCAATTTATCGTCTTGGTGGCCAGTCACTTGTACTGAGTGGTCTCCCCTGGGGTAGCAAGCTCCCGCCGGTCTTCCATGGACATTGCCTTTGTCAGCAAGAGCACGTGGCTCTTGACTTGCACGAGGTTTCATGACAGTTATCCCATCCTTGTTCTCTTATCATTCATTATTCTCTCGTATGTCTGGTTCGGTGGCAGCGCCGGGCAGCGCTGTCAGGAGGCGGCGGCGGTGCCGCTGTCCACGGGCGCTTCGGGTACGAAGGAGACGACCCCTTCCCCGCGGAGCATAATGAGGCCGAGGACGCGTTTCAGTTCTTGCGGGTTGCCCTTCGGGTTCGAGGCCGTCGCGGCCGCGGTGTGTTTCTTCTTCACCAGACGAAACTCCTCCGTGTCGCTCAGCACCAAGTTCATGTGTCGGTCGAACGCCATCAGCACTCCCACCAACATCCGCCCGTCATGCAACGTCACGCGCACACGGAACCCTATCCACTGTTGCAACCGACTACTCCGCCCCATTTTTTTAACCTAATCACCACGGGCTAAACTGGTGGCACCCAACCAGGAAAACAAGACCAAATCAGGCCTTAAAGATGACCACCACTTTCCTAGACGAAGTGGGAACATGTACCCGCCCAATGCGTTCACTACACATGCAGGCGCGAGGGGGAATGAGTTCCCCCTCGCGCCAACATAAGTTCCCTCCATTTCCACCCTCAGTTCAGTTCCTCTAATTCTAATTCATTCATGATGGGTTCGGGGATGTAGACTGCAACTCACAGACTGCAACTCACAGACAGCAGCGCGAAATCATTTGTCAATAGCACCTCAATTGATAGACGAAGTGGGGCACGTCTTCTATTGCCATTTAGTTCACTCATTGGTTTGCCGCTCATGTCTACTAATCTATCACTGATCGGGTCCACTGATTGCAGTCAACTATCCGTGGACACTCGACTCCAGTCGCGGTCGATTGACCCCCACCCCCCCGTTCTCTTGACCGTAGTGTTCTCTTGGCCGTAGTGTTCTCTTAATATTTCTGGACGGTACCGGTACGGTTAAGGCTTCTCCTAACGGTACTTCCGCCTTGACCATATTGTTCTCTTGTTCGCGTGTGTGTGCGGAAAGTCAGTGTGTGTGCCCGTGTGTGCCCCTGAGGTTTACGTCGTTTGGGGGGAGTTTGCTTTTGACGAAGGTGAGTGCGACGGTCATGACAAGGCAGGTGAGGGTGACGCCGGCGAGATCGGCTATGACCTGGGTGGCTGGGGAGGCATAGGCGGGGTCGTAGCCTAGGCGCCAGAGAAGTAGTGGTAGGAGCGTGCCGGTAATGACGGAGAAGGTGACGATGGCGAACATTGCACCACAGAGACCCACAAGTTCCACCGGCTCCAGACTGTTGGAGGTCAGCCATTGCACACGGGCGTAACATGCGGCAGCCAGGACGGCGGCAAGCCGCAATCCCGTCCATAATTCGGCTCTCACAAATCGACCCAATGATCGACCACCACAACCTGATAGACGACGCACTGTTAAAACCGACGACTGACTTGCTGCGTTGCCGCCCGCTCCAATCAACATCGTCAGAAACAAGACAATGCACGTGTGCTCACTTAACAAAGAATCGAACCGCTCCAACAAGAAACCACTCCCACTCTGTAAAACCAGCAAACAAACCAACCATGCTGAACGGTACCAGAACTCCGCAGATGCAGACCCCCTTCGCTGTCTGTCGCACATCCTGCACTGTCGCTCACACATCACCGGGGAATGCTCGCACACTCGCGCCGAGCAGTCACACACACTTGGTACGTAGCCGGGTGGGTAGACCGAAACGTGGTGGTCGCACGCCCCAGAGGGGTGGTCGCACAACCCAGAGGGGTGGTCGCACGCCCCAGAGGGGTGGTCGCACGCCCCAGAGGGGTGGTCGCACAACCCAGAGGGGTGGTCGCACAACCCAGAGGGGTGGTCGCACAACCCCACAAGGTGGTCGCATATCCCCAAAGGACACTGCCCGCCGTTGGGGAAGCCACTGCCGGGGAAGCCGCCCCC